AAAAAAACCGGAAAGATAACAGAATATCACACTCGATAGTCATGCAAATGATGCACTACAAGGCAGAACTATTTGGCGGGACTATAATAAAGCGAGCCTTTATGGCAAAACTACGGAGGAAAAAAAACAAACCACAGGATGGAGCATGACGTCACGCACCCAGCTTTGGCAAGCCAACCAACTTTGAAGCCATCAAAGTCGGCCCTTTTGCTGTGAGATCACGGAATAAACAAGACTTGCCGAAATGTTGTTGTTTGGTTCTCCGTAGTGTTTAGTGGGAGAGCAGCAGTTAGGCTGCTTCACGGAGCACCCAGCTGATCCGTACGCTGCTCGGTTTCCCCGCCTTCACTTCTGATCGTGGCCTCGTTACGTTTTTGCAACTCTTGTTCCGCTTCGTTCGGTCCATGCAAGCGAAAAATTCGGGCGGGCCGTGAAAGGATCCCGAACCAACGTTAGACGTGCACTTCAGTCGAATTAGTGAGAGCCTTGTGAGCATAGGACGCATGTATTATTCACGCTTTTGTGACGAATATTATCATTGTGTATTCTTACCGGGAGGGGTCAATCGTCCAGCAGCCGGCAGATTTGTGCGTGCGCAACTTGGCCGGCAGTGTTTCATTAGCCAGCTGCAGTCACATGGCTATAGTAGCGACTTCGTGTAGCAAAACCCACTTTGACGGCACGGGCATCTGTTGGAGTTTTGTTTTGCGAACGGCCGCCAAGTGAAGAGCGCCAGCAGTTTACACCGGTAGCGCTATTCGCCGGTACTTTGATTTATTTACGGCATAACTAGTACACTGTAGCATAAACGCCACCGAAAGCGCAACGCCGTGACGACACAAGGCGGTCGTACCAGCTGACTGCTTCCTCGAGCGGCCGGCCGCAGTTTCCGCGGGGACAGTTATTTGCCGGTATAGTTTGAGTTAATCACGCCATAGCCTGCTTTGGAAAAATGTGACTGCTACAAACCAGTAGTGGTTTGACCGGCAGTTCGCTTTTCCGAGCGGCCGGCTGTCATAGGAACGCCAGCATTTTGCGCGACGACAGTTGTAAACAATAGTAAAATGATGTTTCCAGAGCAGGCTATGCTGTGATTAACTCTAGCTATGCCGGAGCAATAATAACTCTCCCCGCGCAATATGCCTGCGAATTCTTCACTTTTTCACCGCCACCCACGCGCCAAAGCGAACTGCCGGTTAAAGTGCCACTGACGGGTAGCTGTACCAGTTTGCATCTCATGGCCGCTCGCGTAAAGAAGTGCCAGGAGGGCGTGTTTTGCTACACGAAGCCACACAAACAACCTTACTTGCAACAGGGCACAGCCACTCATTTGGATACTTTCGCTCTTCAAATTCTCGCAATAATCTTACGCCCCATTCCTTGAGACGTCTCTACACAAGATCATTGACAGCAAAAACTCTTTTAGCTTCAAAAAAAAACAAAAAAAAAAACAAAAAAACCCTGCGCTTTGGCGTCAAAGTCCAGAAAAGTGAGCACAGCGTTCACGATAGTGCTTCTGTGCTACGAGTGATGAAGCACTTTTCAAAACAAAGCAAAACCGAGAGAACTGAAATCTACCGCATGCGCTTACGTTTTGGTCACGTGTTGGACCGACTTGGTGGGCTTCAATCGCGTTGCGCAACGCTCCCTGCTGTATATTTCCTTTCTCTATGGGAAGGCAGAGTACAAAACAATTCTCAAGAGGTACCTCTCGTATATTGAACAATCGAGAGGTTATTTGATTTTGACGTCACTTCAACAAACTGCTGACGTCACAAATTTTGACCCAGGAACAGGAAACGCAGAGAGCAAATACAGCGCTCTTTTTTTTGCATTATCAGAGGTTGTTTAGGGGCCATTTAAGCGAGAGGTGGGTCGAATACACCTATCTAGACTTACAGATTTTCCGAGATGGCTTCTATGTCGAAGCACTGAACCTAATCGGACTATAGTTGTCAGCAAAAAACGATGTTGTGCTTTCTTGGGGCTCTGTCGGCATTTTCGCTGTGACACATAAGACCACGGATAAGGAATTTTGTAGGGGCACTTGATAGTGAATCGACAATGATGAGTGGTACTGACACCCCTCATCATTTTCGATTGTGGTCTGTTTGCCCGAAGCGTTGATTACTTGCTGTTAATGTAACTCATCCTGGTCACTAGGAACGCTGAGGTTTTGAGTTGCTAAGCTGAATGCTGTCGGCTCATTCCTGACCATGGTGGCCTATTCAAACACGGGAGGGCAAATCAATAACACCAGAGTACTTATAAATTGAGTAAGCCTATCAGGGGCGTAGTAAGACATTTTTTCCATGGGGGGGGGGGGGGCGGAGAGTTCACCTGTACATTGTGCATGTTCGTGCATGCTTTTGTATATGTACATGTATACACACATAAGCAAAATTGAAAAGTTTTGAGCACTTTGAAGCACTCTTTTTGGGCTATGTCTGTGAAGGTTATAGTTGTTCCTGAGTCTCCGACTATATTATAGTCACCTCATAGTCACGTGGTGTGTAGGGCACCAAAACACCAAAAATTATTGTTGACGATGATGATTATGATGTGTGGCGCTTTATGGCGCAAGGGCCAATATGGCGAAAGAGCGCCATTTCAATGACTAGAGATGTGAACAAGAAATTATTGTTGCCATAGCAGTCGTATGGACCCTCCAGGTACAGTTTTGTGTCGCCATGAGGTTGAGTGTGAAGTTCAAGGGGTAATAATTTGTTACACGTGTACTATGTTTTATGGGTGAGTGAGAGTTTGCGAGAGCCACCGGCGACAGCGGCTGAATGAAACATAAAACGTTCCGGCCATTTTCGACTGATCGAGAGGCGCAAAGGGATTCCCGGGGGAACCGGCGGGGAAGAGGGTCTGCGTTGTTCAGACACGATATGTTTATCGTTTAACTGAATAAGGGCTGAACCAATACCAACTAGCCCAATTATCTGTGCTACTATGATCTGTTTACCTTGAGCGGCCTGGCACAATCACGTACACTCCATCCTGTGAGTTATTAATAGATCACTCATACCTTTTTATATGCTGTGAATTCCGCTTAGTTTGTACCCCGGTGTAGTGGTCTAGTGGCTAAAGTACTCGGCTGCTGAGCCGCAGGTCGCGGGATCGAATCGCGGCTGCGGCGGCTGCATTTTCGATGGAGACCAAAGTGCTGTAGTCCTGTTGTCTCAGATTTGAATGCACGTCAAAGAACCCCAGGTGGTCGAAATTTCCGGAGCCCTCCACTACGGCGTCTCTAATAATCAAGCGGTGGTTTAGGGACGTTAAACCCCACATATCAATCAACGGCTTAGTTTACATTGAAGCGATAGACAGCGCGAAACAGGTTTCGCTCGTGGAAGCCGCCGCATTTCCTTATGCCGCTGTTTTGATTATTTGCGCCAGGTGGGTTGTTAAATCAGTAGGCTGCTATAGCCTTACTTCGTGCAACAGTCCACTCTATTGTGGCTTTCGTAGGTTCTCTTTTGTGAAGAAACTGCGTCTTTTGGAGGGCTGTGCTCCAGCACCCGTTCCCGCGTTTGGCGACGTCAGTATCACCAGCGTCCTTGGTGGGGTAACTGATAGCCATGAGAACGTAACCAATGCACATGAAAAAGATTAAAAAATGCGCAGAACGAATGGAACTTGAACGATGGCCCTCAGCATCACAGTCGAGTATTCTACCCCAGGGTAGCACTGGCGCTTGAATCTGATCAGCAAAAAAAAAAAGAAAAAAAAAACCGTATACAGACTTCATGTTGGGCAACGAGTAACGTTAAACTATGTAATATTGCACGACAGAAGATTCTTTCGTAATAATGAGACCAGGGCTTTTTCGTCGCAAAACCACGCTATGATTACGAGAGACGCCGTAGTGAAGAGCTCCAAAAATTTCGACTATATGGTACTCCTTACATTGTACGATATTTAGCGCAAGCTTGACTCTCGAAAACACTCACACAAACACTCACACACCTACTCGAGTAACACGCACAATACTCCGGTAGATGTGTGAGTGAGTGTTTGCAACGTTCAAGGTGGCGTTATATATCGTACGTGACAAATAACAAACTAGTCCAACAAGTTTAATTGATATTCTTTCATGTGCACAGACAAATGACCACCGCTGCCAGGATCGAACCCGTCACCTTCGGCTCAGCAGCCAAGCACCTTAGCCACTCATCCATCTAGACAGAAGACTGAAATGATAAACAGCCTTGCCAGAAAACTAATTGCGCAAAGAGTGTATGCTTAATGGTTCCCACCCGCTACAAAGTGCTCAGCCATAATAATTCACTCTGCTCAGCCACATGCAGCAACGACAAAATGACAGAAAACTTGCTTATACCTAGAAAGGCGAATCACGGCGCTGTGGGTGCTGTCCCATTTGAACAAAAACATGATTCAGGCTTTCCGCATGGGCCTTCACTCATGAGGAAACAGTTGGCCTTGCACCAACATGAAGCGACTTTCATAATTCGCATTAGGTTTTATCATAATCGTCGGAGATTTTTCGCTATATTACGCTCGCCGTTTACTTGAGAGTGCGAACGTCACGTTTACTGGAGAGCGCACGAGTAGTCACGTATTATTCAGCAAATCTCGCACAAGTTAATAAAAGCCCTAAAAACACTGTGTTTGCAAGATAGAAACTTTTTGACCTTATTCATATGCTGTGTAACTGCTCCATTGAAGATGTGTTGAAAAGAATAGATGAATTATTGTCTACTTCATTACGGCTAATTATTTGAGCTTTTTATGTATACTTCTATTTCATCCTGATGAAGCCACACTGTCCTCCGAGTTGAATTGATTTTATAAGTGCACACGAGTAGTTTGAAAAAATCAGAAGGTTGGTGCGATCAGCTGGAAGGCTGATATACATGTAAATTTTGTCTGTAGCAAATATCAGAAGTTTCAATTGGTTCGCGGTTCTGTGGTTAAGCGATTGCCCAACGTGCCACCATGGCTACGTACTGATGGATGTCGTTCCTTTTCAGGTAACCACAAGCTCCCAGCTAGCCGACGCGCTGTCAATAATTAACAATGCGGTCGCCATCTACAGTACGCTCGACAGTCCACTGGAACACTGCTTTAGCGCAGAACTGACAGCACTTCGGCCTGAAGACCAGCTGGCCACCTACGTTTTTCAGTTACAGACTCTTCTTGGTTACATTCAGTACGTAGACTGATTTACTGCTGATATCGTGAGATCTCGTAGTTGTTCATATACTGAATTGATGTGATAACGAAAGGAGATAGGCAAGAGCGAGTGTTTGCAACGAAGGTGTAATGGTACCACTTTTACCGCCAAATGCAGGAAGAATTGTGCCCACACGTGGAGGTTCATTTTAGGATTATAACGGAATGCAATGCAAACCACGAGGTGCGAGCATGGCCGTATGAATACAGGGAATGCCCGAATCGAATGTCTCGCAGGGTTGACTTTTCTCAATGAGCTTCCTTATCGCCGCTTTTAACTTGCAACACTCATGCTGTTCCCCTTTTGATCCGTGGCGTGGGTGTTCGATCACTTTCTCTAAAATATTGATTTTTATTTACGTATGCATGCACACAAGTACACAAGAACACACACACGCACGCGCCCAAACACTAAGACACTCATTCACCCACCCACCGACGCACAAACATATACACACACGGTGCGCTCACAGGCACGTTTTCTCAAGGACTAGTTTCAAAGGAATTCTCTCAAAAATTCCACAGATACGCCTTTAAAGACCACCACGTGTCGTGCTGACACATGGTATTGCACACGCAACACCTACTGTAGTACACTGATACAATTACCTGGGAGAGGTTACATACTACTTTTGATTTGTTCGCACGTATTTGGCTGGGTCGAAGTACCAAGGAAGAAGGGGAACGCGAGAATACAAGAAGCGAGGATGCCCTGAAATCAATGCAGAGCGCTTTTGAACTCAGGTCAACAAAACAATTTTTTTTGTCTTTTTATGACGGAGTAGAGTATGATCGCAGAGATTGAAAACGCTATCGTTCAAACACTTTTACAAGAGGAAAGTAAGCAAGTCATTTTCTTAAGTGATGGCACGGAGATAATGTATTCGTGGGAAAAAAGAGTATTGAACTTCATAGCATACGGACATAAATCAGTTAAATGCATACAGTCATAACACAACTACATTTTCGTATAGCGGTAGCAGCAAAGTTTTGAATTCCTTAAGTGTTGAAAGCTTTGAACTGCAACTTAATCAGTCTTACGAATTTTGTAATCTCGACTGATTATTAAACATGACATCGTAAGTTATAAATTTCGAACGTATCGTGCTTCTGATTGGAGGAGTACTGAAGTCATATAAATAAACGAACAGGTTTTCTAGTTTCGCAAGTATATAAGGTACTGTTGCATTCAGCATGAAGTGCAAAATTACCTTGCTTCTTAGATAAATCTGCCACTATTGAAGTATGTAGCTTGCTCAACTAACTTGTTGCCTCACAAATACATAGGCGGAATATCTATTATGTTAGCTCTACATTTCAGTGTTACACGACTCTTGCACATTGATATTCTTATGTGCTACAGAATAAATATGCGGCCATTGAAGTCATTTTTATTTACACAGGATGCCACCTTTTTGCATCAACCTCACTACGTCGGCTTCAGGTGAATTCCTCTTTGGTCCTTGCGGAGGTAAGAACACGCCGAACTAAGTATATTAGGGAGATCACAACGGAAATTTGGCCACCACGTGAGAATACCATCAATAATTGAAAGAAAGTAGCTATTGTATCACTTTAGCTTTTTAACAAATGGCAGAACTATATTACTTATGGGATTAGCATGTATACTCCTTGGTGCCCCCCCAAATATACCTTTGATCCCTACTTTGCTACTCAATGCACCCACCCCACTATCATAAAGAGATTAAAGGCAGTGAAATCACGAGGAACTAAAAAGATACCCCAATTTGTAAGAATAAGTAAATTTTCTGTGACTAACTGTTCTAAAGGAGCTCCTTTATCGTTTATTTCTAAACCACATGTGATTCGCTGGGCAAGTAAATGTGTAGCAACACTATAACCTACCAAATCGTGCCACAATTTCAGCACATCAATGTCACTGTGCCGTCACAGACTGCAAAAAGTTTCTTGTGTTTCGACCTCATTGGCCTTGTCAAACTTGCTATGTGAAGTGTCTGGTTCGCTTAGCACGCAATATAATTACTTTGACATAAAAATTGTGGAGCAGACCGTAGCAGACTTAGCTAAAATTTACTAATTAGCTCTGTATTGTGTAATGGTGTCAAACTCTCAATGATTACATCATATTTGACAGCATTCAACCGGCTCTCGTAGCTCACCGAGTGGGCATCACCGGAAAAGCGTGACAGAAAAGGCCGAAAACTGTGTTCGCAGACAGACCAATATGAGGTGGTGTAGTATGCATCGCCATCGTCATCAGCGCCAATCGTATGTGGTGACGTCGGTCACGAAGTTTCGGGTTAATTTTAGGTTAGAGTGTTCCACATTAGGAGAAGGGGTATGTGAGTCACGGTCGCATAGTGAGCCAAGTCGCGAGTGGCAGAAATTGCGGCTATTACACTGCTGTTATACAAAGTAAGTGTTGACTACATGATTAATTAAGAAAATGAAAGCCAATTGGCGTAGTCGACTTTTTTTGTTGTTGTCTTCGTACTTTAGGTCATGAAGTTCAAATTAACGAGCTTTTGCTACGTTTTCTTATTGCCCATTTTTATTGCTTACCAAGAGTCTTCTTCTGGCCGGCGAGATTCTATTGAAATTGTGAAAGGGCGGCTAATGCAAGAAAAATAATTTTGCTGTGTAGTGTTTCTTCAAAATTGAATATGCGTTGCGATAGAAACACAAACAAACAAAAAAGAAAGACATTTGCTAGTTACTAACCATTGTCTCATTTGACGCCCTCATGATTATTTCGTTGCCATGTACGATACGCAAAATATATGCATTTGATCGCAACGATGATTGGAAGCTGCCTCACCATTGTGGGATTCACATGCCAGAGGCATCGTTATACGCTTCTAATTGCTAGTTATCGGGCTTCAGCTTATTGAGAGAGCTCTGCAGCGAAGCTTGTATTGCCCGAACTGCGAAGGTGGTTTGTGGTGGTTAGTTGATTGGTCAAACTTTATTGATAGTGCGGAGACACAAGACTAGCGGTGTTTCCGAAAAAAAGTTAGTTTCATCACAACGGCGAAGCAATGAATAAGACAGCAACAAGGAACCCGCCGAGTATGTCCACATAACTGCAGTTGCATAAAAAAGAAGGAAAGGAAGCTTGAAAAAAAAAAAGCTGCTTGCATCTTCCCATGGGAGGAAATCGAGTAAATTCTTGGGGTATCGCGTGAATGTTGCGTAGTTAGTTATAGTTTGGGGATGCCTAATTGTTTCGTCTTAGTTATTCTTATTTATTGAATGAAGGAGAAGCGTCGCCTTCAACGAGTGGTGGGACGCTGATATTGAGTTGCACTCCACTACTGGTTGAAGATACTGCTGCTTCCATCGCATCTAGTCAAGTGAGGCATATCGTCAAGTCAAGCGTAAGCCAAGTAAAGACGCTCTGAACTAAATTTCAGGCACGCGATGCAGTGTCCATATACCAGTGTAGTTTCCTATTGATTGTATCTTATAATTTAGTTGTTCTGCGCTGTGTGGCCCGTAAGTTCAAAACGCATGCAATGATTTGCTGCATATTTACGTCCTGAAGCTTCCAGACCTGGCTTTTTTAAAGTCCTGTCAGCGGCACCTTGCAGCGCTTCTCCGGTGTACTTGCGGAAACAGGGACGTACATTGGATCACGTTGACGAGGGGCTGACCAAAAGTACACGTGCACACTCGGCTGGTCACATGTCTCCTGTGGGCATGACTGCCTGATATACTTCTCACAGCTTATCACTTCCCTGAAGGCTGTGCATAATTTCATTACAAATCTTCCGTAACCAATCAACTGACTGCCAGACCAAGCCCACGCGATTATAATGCTTCGACATAACTGGTCTCTTCACGATAAAAAGGAAGCTTGGGCATGAGTGGCAGCCTTCTCAGATGATCTCTGCACGTCGTTTGCTCCGTGCCTCACGTCCTCGATTGTTCCAGCATTCTCACGCGGGCTTTTGCTTTGAGACGCGTTCGCGGTCTTTGCGTGCGTCTTCTCCGGCTTGCGAGTGAGCATGCACACTATCGATAGGCTGCGAGCGGAAGAGCCTTGTTTTCGCTCGGTCGTCGGCAACGGGTGGCGCCGTACTTCGATGCTCCGTTTTAAAGTCGGTGGCGCGCTCATTTGTGACAAGCTTGGTCAGGAAAAAGTTGTGATGTTTAGTCTTACTCAAACAATACGTCCACAAAAGCAAACGTGTGTAGGACCTTTAAGGCAAAATTTTCTGGTGCCTTTCAGATCTCTTTCCTGACTTTCCTGCTAACGTGCTTTACTTCAACGGCGAGAACTGCATCATCGCCAGCGTTGTTCTCTTTGGAGCCCGGCGTAAGTAAACCATGTTACATGCATTCTTATTGATATACGTAATGACTCGAGTCATGTGTCATTCGCTCCTCATTTGAATGGCACCATGCATAATGGTTGCAAAATTATTTTATCTAAAATCTTCGCAACAAATATTTTAGTATGATCTGCTAAGAATGTGGTAGATGTCAACACGACGATATCGAACTCGAATAAATCCACTGTTCCCGGGTATCGAACGGTTTTCGGTCTCGAAAATGCTTTGCCACTTATGCACAGGGAAAGTCCATGGCTACATCAAACGAAAACAGATGGGACAGTTCATACACCAAACGACGGGTGGTGTGAAACGCCCCAAGTAAATTTTTTAAGAGTAGTGCATTAGGAAAGGTGGATTTGCTTTGCCAAAAGTAAGGCCATGCATTTGTGTGTAGGAGAGATGTGATTAGGAGGGTGATGCTTGGAAGCACTCCTGCGCTGTCGTCCATAAAAGGTTCTTCCCTAGTGTTTTCTAGTTCATGTTTCACTTATTCGGGACGGTTTACCGTAAAAATATGGCAAAATAATTATAAAACCTTGAAAAATGGCCCGACTGCGAGATCTGAACTCGGCGTTCTTACTGTTCCTAACCGCCTTGGTACACAGCCTTGTCTCCGCAGGCAGATCTTGATCATTACTTGGCTCTTTCCGATAGTGTTTAGTTGCTCTCCTCTTCTGGGGCTTTGTGTCGAAGAAGTTAAAAAAATATTGAAATATTGAACCCGCAAAAGCTGGTTCTGTGTGACCGAACTTGGTAAAACACGGGCACACCGATAGCTAAGAGTGTGCGCTATGTGCTTCCAAAAGTGATAAGCTACAGGCTCACTGAACACACATCTGCAGTGACTCCGAATGCTTGTTGGAGGGAGACGTGCATGGGATGCTCGCATCCGCATGACGCATGAGGGATTTGTGTTGCTATGTTAGCAGGTGATGCTGATAGGGGCCTTTTAAGGCTGCCGAATCGCATGGCACAACCTATATGTGTACGCACGGCTCGCCTTCAGGGAGAGGGGATGTTTGTCGTAGCCCCCCTCCCTTTATGCCAATGTATGGAGCTCAGTGCTTTCGCGTTATGTGCGAGATGTGATGCATGAGACGTACGCGACCTCTAGAACAAAAACTGGGGAGGCATTTACTAATCCAACAAACTTTCGCCTTCCTACTTTTTTTGGAGCGAGATTTTTTTGTGTGTGTTGTTTTCCTATTGGCGCTGGTAGATTTTGCCATATTGGTTCCTAGAAAAGGTGTCATCCTAACAAATCGGTTGTCGGTCTGTTTTAGTCCTCTCTACGTCTTTATTTTCGTGCCATAGCTGTTCCCAGGTGCATTTATATGTTCGCCATGTTTTAGCAACTAGCCCCTAGCTACGCGATTATATTACCTAATATTTTCTTTGACTGTTTCAGAGTGCATGATGGGAGTGACGAAAGAATTCAAGGATTCTGTGCCGGAAGAATGCACGCGGCAGTTCGATCAGCACTGTGGCCCGAAGAGGTACACGCTGTATAGCAAGGAGGAATGCACTTGAAGAACTTTGTCATCTGTTATTTAGCTGCGCCAGTTCACGCACTAGTACCGGCTGCTGAGATTTAGAGGACTGTAAATAAACTGTTCTTGTAGCATCTTCTTTGTTGCGATACCTAAATTGCAACTAGAGTGCTAGCACTAAGCCTCGCCGCCATTGTGCTGACGCATAGTAAGCACACCTGTTAGCTATTATTCACACAGATGAGTAAATGACTGCCACGGAGGAATCCTTTGCAGCGATTGTGCTCAGCCTCTGTCAGTGATCTCCACCTTCATCACTGAGCAGTTATAATAGGTCAGCTCTCAATGTCGTGTTTCACGACGCCGCTGTTTTAACGATGCGCTCATGCCCAGAGGTCGATAACCTGAAAGCAGAAAGTGTAATTTTCCTTTTAACTTGGTAGTAGTGGTAATTTCGAAAATTCATGTTTCATGCACTTCTGTGCTGCGTGTTGAACCGTAACCGAACAGGAAAGCAACATGAGTAATTAAACAGAAACTGATTTCTTGGACTATGCCCGAACGAGATATGCCCGAAACAAATAAATAAATAAATAAATGAATATGAAATAAATAATAAAATATTAGTTAAATAAATCAAATCAATTAATCAACAAGTGCATAAAACCAAAGTTATTGTGCTCGTGCACAAGTAAAGTACACCGTTAGTATTGAACCACGTAACGAGGCCCATCTACGGAACAAAATACAAATCGACGAGAGGTAAAACATGAAAAATAAAATATAATAAGAAAAATGTGCTAAGATACATCAACAGAAAGCAGTAAATATAGAAGAAAACTGATAAACAGCGTTCAGGTGCAACGGAAGAAAACTGAAAGAAATAAAATACAAAACGGTAAAAAAGACGACTTGCGCATTGTGTGAAACCTCGCTAAAACAGTACAAAGCTTGAAATAACTTTAATTCTGGTCTATTGAGTATGATGCGGTCATTTGTTTTTCGCAAGACGTTACTTTTGACACCATGGCTCACGAAGTTCACTCAGAGAAAAAATGAATGGAGATGGTGGTGGTAGTACTGATTGTAATGTTGCAACAGGTGTGGTTAGCCTGGCGTACATGGCCCGAGCGCCTCCTGAATTGTAGCTGTACATCACTACGCATAAAGCAGCCCGGTGCTTCAAAGGAAGACAATGAAAATTCTTGGGCGCTCCTCGTCATTGCCGTAAGCTATTCGGGGAAAATTAGGAAGCTGCGGACCATCGCTGTTCTTTCTACATCGAAATGTGGGCAAAGCCAAATAAAATGCTCAATTACGTAAATGTCACGACACAAGGCAGAAGACAAGGAAGGCTATCGGCCAGTTTTTATGCGGTTTCAACTGCGTCTCTTGTTCTCGAGGCAGCCCTATAGGACTACATACGCCTGTAGTGGGAATGATGGGGGACATCATGGGCCACACATGAACTTTTGCAGGCTCTTCACTAGTGTATGCATATGGCAGCTGCCTGGGAAGACGCATACGGCGACAGAATAAGAGGCGTTCAGACTCAGAAAGGCCACTAACCCACCAAGTACAATAACCCTGTACTGCGAAGCGAAATGTTCCGAAGGTATCATTGTAAGGAGTAACTACCAAACAATTTTACTCTTTTACTCATGTTGGCACTGCTATATAAGAGTCATTTACACGACTGTAACCTTGAGTGCTCTAGCGCGTGACGGGTAATTATTTAGAAAAGCTGTTAGAGCGCCCAATCGCCGTTTGGTTTCAGAGAGCACCGAGAAAGGGGGAACCATTTAGGGATGACTGATCAACTGTTTTTGATAGATTAAACATTAGTCGTATCAAGATGTTACCGCTTCTCGAGTGAACTCTGTCGATGGTTAATTTTTTCGTTCATTAGTCAGATGATCCTCATTTTGGTGGATGCTTTCAGCAGGGATAAAAGATAGTATATAACCATGTATCACCACATTTATTTTTCCGGTAAACCGTACAAAGCTAAAAAAAACATATGAGTTTTGGTGCTTCACAATATAATAATAGTAAAGCATGTTATGAACTCAAATAGGGCAATAATCGAGGCTTTGTTTTATTCAAACTACATGATCTTTTCTACGGAGCATATGAATGTCAAGTGCCTCAGGTATTTGATATATTAGTCATGGCTACACAGGAATAATCACTTTGTTGTTTTGGCGACAAACGCTTCCTGTAATCTTTACAGTTAAACACCAGTACCATATATCAATATGTAATATTGATATTATGATTATTACGAAGGGATGATTTTGTTGAAAAATGAGCCTGTTTCATGTCGCGCAAAATGTTTAAGCAGTGGAGCTGGTGGCATCACATAGGCATCGCATTGTTTCACTTTGCTCTGCAGCTGCTTTTTCACCATCTGCACTTTTTAACCCGTATTCCTGACGTTGGTTCAGGAAAACTGCTTTAAATTCCCCAATTCATAAGATTTAGTCAACTAGTGGTGAGTACTGGCACAGCCTCTCCAATTTCTGCGACACATAGTCGCTAGGTGCTCCGTGATTCTCCGCAGGGATTAACCTTGACTCTAAGCACCTCCACCGTTAATATGAGCATGTTAGCCAGCCTACTAGTGAATTGAGAGACCTCATAACGAGCGTGTGAGAATAGCCGCTGGGACGCTGGAGATGTTGCAGGCTATACTAGACAGTCGCTTCAACTCGCCCGCCATGTGCACTCCTCAGCATCACCGTCGCTATTCTTGCTTAGCCTTATAATATATGTTCGAAATTTTCATGCCATTCTTGTCACTATATTTAAGTTGATCAGTCGAAAAAAATTAATTAAGTCAAGTAACACATCGGTGGGTATCGATGAGGATCAATTATTTTGAGAGAAATTTTTATTCAGTAATAGATTGATTGGTAGAGTAATGAATATCACTATCTTTGTTATCGAGCTGTTCTTTCGTAAACCCCTGGCGCACTAACAAAAAAAAATGTCGTGTTACAGGCCTCGAGCCTACACAACCAGATTGTGGCACCACCTTTATACGTTGTATCACATGCTCTGGCAGTGCCCATCACTACAGGATTGCCAATGCATGTGAAGAACCTAGAAGCTCAGGCCATCGGAATCAACTTAGGGCAGTCCAGATTTCGAACGACATGTCGGTTAGGCTTGCCTTATCCATCCCGACGCGGGAGCGACCAGCTGCCCTATGGCCCTCTGGGGCAGAGTTCATTACGACATAAATAATGATCTCTTTTTGTTTGTCGATACATAAAACATTGGCGCATCACGTGCACGTAAACACAGCTTTAGAAAGTGGGTAGAGAGCCCAAGCACAGAGTATTTCAGTCAGAATCAACTCGTTACGGAAGTGTTGGTTAGTTGTTTACATTGAATACAATTTGAAGTCGATGCCGCGAAGTTCTGCGTTTCAAGCTGTCTTTCGTAGCAAACATATTGAAAGTTATTTAAAATGCAATCTATGCTATATTGGCTGTTAGTATTGTGTAAATTAGCAAGGGTGAAGCTGCTCAAGGTCGAGGCTTATTCGTTGGTGACGTTGGTGTGCACCATAGCAGTGATGACGCTGATGACGATGATCATCATGGTCAACGACTGGTTTGTGCAGTACATATTGTCTCTATATGCTTTACGATTGGAAAGAACCATCAACCTCCAGGAAAACCTGCACAGACCTCGTCTTTACCAACTTCATAATAGACCTATAACACAAATCTGTAATAATAAAGGCAAAATGAAATTCAGAACTAAACACGTGATAAAATAATTGACCAATAAGCCTTGTATAGAACTGTGCGCCGCTTTGTTACTCATCGGCATGAATGAGGGGTGATGTCCAGAATCACGAACAACCCCCCTGCTTCTCCCGCTCATCATCATTCAACTGGTGGATATGCCATGTTTTTTTGTGTGTGTCTGCACAAATTCATCCCATTGATTCTGTCGTCATTCTTTGGTCAGTAGTCGTTCGAGGTTTTTAACACGTACCACCCTGAAAGAGATGCTCTACTGGGCCACATGACTCATGAATTCACTATAACTTTTATATAGGCCGACTTTAATTCATTTGTTTTCTATTTAATTCTGTACATTTACAATGCATGGAAGAACTTGAGGGTCGCTCAAAAAAATTCACACTGCCGTCAAAAGGGACATCACAAGGCTCTGCTATATCACCAATGATCTTGAACTTAGCCATGAGATCACTGTCTAATCTACTAAAACGAGTAAAAGGCATCAAGTACGCACTTTATGCCGATGACCTCACAATCTGGACCACAGGGGGATCTACCATACCGAATAGGATCAGCTGCAAGAAGCGGTGCTCGTCACTGAACAATACCTTGCGACATGCGGTCTCTCGTGTGAACCAAAGAAATTGGAACTCCTCCTTTTACGGAAACGCACGTGAGGGCACCCGCCGCATTGAATTCCGGACCCTGAAGTGACTTTTGGGGAATCAGTATTCCCAAAGTCTCTACGCTATGCATTCTTGGCATTGTTATTGAAGAAGATGAAACCCGTGGAGCTGAGCTAGAAAAGCTACAACGAAGAGTTCAACAAGTAACGAAATTAATTAAGCGAGTTGCCAGCAAACGCCATGAACCCAAAGAGGAAGAGTGCAGAGTTATGATCCAAGCGTTACTTATAAGCACCATAACATACGAAACTCCGTTCATGCACATGAAGAACGGTCAGCGTAACAAGATGAACATCCTCATCCGCAAAGCGTATAAAATTGCCTTGGGACTTTCACCCACGAAGCCTATCACAAAGCTTATCAAGATGGGGGTCCATAATACCTGGGATAAGTTAATTGAAGCCCAAAAGGGGAAGCAACTAGAAAGATTGAAACCTTAACATATGGGACGACCACTTTTAAATAACCTCGGATATGCAGTAAAAAAAGCCCTCCTTTCCCTATCTATTTCCCCATGAAATCATTGACAAAATACTTGTGTGCCAAATACCAAAAAACGTCCACCCACAACATGACAAAGGAAGAAGAAATGCATGGGCAAAGTTGTTGCAGCAGCGGCTGGAGAGCTATACCAACAATGAAAGCATTCGATACAAATGTGCCACTAAATACCGAGAAACCAACAGATAAGTAG